CCTTCCTCTTCCCGGCCAGCGCGGCCCCGCATCACTCTCGCAGCGGCGGTGGCGGCAGCGGCGGCTCCTTCCTGGCACCCGTCTTCGGTAAGCGAGTTTTTTTCATAGGGACGGACACTATGCCTCCGCATTAGCGATCCCAGAGAAGGGATCGCTATGTGGATTCGTCGTTATACGGTGCGCTCGTTATGCGAGGCACCACTGTATGTTGTTCACATCAATGTGAACTTTTATCAAAGAGAAACAGACCAAATCTCTCCAACCCTGTTCTCTCACAGAATCACAGAATCCTAGGATAATGGATCTGGAAGAGGCCCATAAAACCACTGAGTCCAAACTCTTGCTCAATGCAGGAATCCAGTTAAAGCATATCTGACAGATGCCTCTCTAATTTTCTCTTAGATGCCTCCAGTATTGGAACGCTCACCACCTCCCATAGTAATTGGTTCTATTGTCATATTGCTCTTAACAGGATTTTCCCCCTGATATTCAATAGAAATCTGGCCTCCTATAGCTCGAGTCTATTATTACACACCCTGCACTCAGAGTTATTATAAGAACAATTATATGATCACAGAAACATTTTAGTAGAATTCTCCCCCAGCAGACAAACTCAGGAGACCTAAACAAGGCTGAACTCTCTCCCCCTTTTTCATGTTCTACCGAATGATTCTTGCCTTGTAGGTATCTGTATTAATGAGTAAAAAACCACACACTACATTCTTAACTATTTGTTGACGATTCTGTGATTACAGTCTGTAACTGTTGAAATTCTCCATATCCTAAATACAGTGGTGCCTCGCTTAACTATTACCTTGTTAAATGACGAAACCGCTTAACATGAAGTTTTTGCGATCGCTATTGTAATTGCAAAACGATGTTCCTATGGGGAAAATTGCTTAATGATGATCGGTTCCCTGCTTCGGGAACTGATTTTTTGCTAGAAGATGATTTTAAAACAGCTGATTGGTGGCTCTAAAATGGCCACCCACTGTGCAAAATGGCTCCCCACTGTGCTTTAGGATGGATTCCTCGCTTTACAGTGTTGTAATATTCAATATGTAACATGTCTTTCTCTTTAATGGATAACCTTGAAAGGAACCTCATGTGTTCCCTGTAATCAATCAGCCTCATAAATGTAGTTTGTTTCACCCTCTATCTCCACACCCTCCCTCGGATGGTGCGAAGCTACGAGCAAGGCAGAACCTTTTGAGTTTGCCTCTTATCGGCGTTACCTTGACTGCTGTTACTTATTTTGCTCAATTATATGGTATGTAATATGTTTTAGATGTTATGTTTGTTTACAGGAATTCCCGTATACCTTTTCCCTAAGAGACGTAGATAAAGTATATTTTGAACAACTTATCTCGGTGTCTCGCAACCTCCTTAATATATATTTTTTCAACATACAGGCGCCGGAAAATGGCCGCCCTATGGAGGATCTTTGCAAAACGAGCAGGTATTTCATCCATTGGAACGCATTGAACCGGTTTTCAATGCATTTCAATGGGTTTTTTAATTTTGCTTGACGAGGATTTCGCTTAACAGCAATTTGAATGGAATGAATTATCCTCGTTAAGCAAGCACCTCTGTATTCTGAAGAACTTTAGTAAATCCTCAGTCCTTGGAACCAAGAAAGAAAAATCTAACATTCTAGCTCCAATTATGCCATACTTCTATAGGGAATTCCATCTCCATAAAGTATCTCGGCATTAATAATTCAATCTAATCCTTTATGATTATTTTTTTCTGATTATAAACCATTACTCCATCACATTAAGCAGCTTTGACAAATGGTCAAAACTGAAATTTTCATGTCCCCCCCCCATATTTCTGCTATTGTTTTATGTATTTCTTTATTTGATTTATATACCGTCCATCTAACTGAAGGTCACTCTTTGTATCTTGATGAGGGAGATTGTATTTTAAGAGTAGGCTAGAACTTTAGTTATTTTGTATCTGGAAGAGGGAGATTGTATGTTTGATTGCTATCATGTAACTCAGTGTAAATTTAAGTTGAACTTTGTTTAGTTGTAGCAATTGTTATCTGGTTCATTCCTAAAACTGCTTAGGCTCATATGTTTTGGGCTGAAGGCAAGTTTGTTAAAAGTATAGTGGTGCCCCGCATAGCGATGACAATCCATTCCAGGAAAATCATCGCTATCCGGAATCATCGCTATACAGAACGGAAAACCTCATAGGAACACATTACCCGTTTAATGCATTCCTATGGGGGAAAAACTCACCGCTATGCAGAAATCCTCCATACGGCCGCCATTTTCGCCACCCGGTAAGCGAGGAAATTGCGCGAAAATGCTGCAGATGGCCATTTTGTTTACCTGGTGGCCATTTTGGAACTGCCGATCAGCTGTTTTTAGAACATCACAATGCGAAGATCGGTAAGCGAAACGCTTACCGATCATCGCAATGCGATTTTCACCCATTTAAAACGTTGCAATGTGATCGCTTTTGCGATCGCAAAATCCGCATCGCTATGCGGATTCGTCGTTAAACGGGGCGCTCACTATGCAGGGCACCACTGTAAAGTCATTTTAAATGTGATTAGCCTGGTTGTAAGCTAGTCGCATTAATTGGTGGCAGCAAGTGAGATATGGAAAATCCAGTGGCGGTTTTTAAGGAGGAGAGGTCTGGAAAAATCCTAGGTGGTGGATTTAGAGACCTCGTAGAGGAGCAGTATTCAAAGATCTAGTGAAGATTCTGGAGCTGCAGAGGACTCAGGAAAATCCTGTATGGTATGATTTAAGGACCTGTTTGCTGAAAATTGTAACTCAGGGAAGAAGTCAAGAATTGTGTGAAAAGGGTCAGTTGTACTGTCAGCTAACATGATTCTCTGAGGTGAAATTTTGCGGTACAAGGTAGGAGAATAATTGGAAAGCTGGGGGAGACCAAGTTACTAAAGGAGTGATTTTAGGTAAAAGTTTTGGGTAAAGTAAGGAAACACTGAGAAAGCTTAGTCCATCAGAGCAATTCTCTGAGGTAAATTGGTAGGAGAATTGCTAGGAAGTTGAGTGAGATTAAAACCAACTGGTGCTTTTACCTGAGGTAAAAGCTTTGAGTAAAGTAAGAAGTCACTGTTAAAACTATACACAGAGATTGTAGTCAGGAACAATTTGAACATATTTCCTTAGGTAAACGTTTAAAGGTAATTAAAGGTAATTATAAAGAAATATGAATATGAATACATGCCTCCCAAAAAGATAAAAAAGTCAGAAATGGAACCAGATTCTTGAAGCAGACCAAGCTGGTGTAGAAAGAATGGATGGAATTATGCTCACCTCTGTTGTTGTTGAGGGTCCACAGAGTTTGGAAATATGGAAAATAAAGATATAGATGGAAAGAGAACAAATTGAGAAAATTGGAAGCTGAGAACAAAAAAGAAAAAGACAAGACAAGGTTAAGAGAGACAGAAATGGAATTTCAGTTAAGAATGAAGGGATAAGAATCATAACAATGGTACCAATAGTTCACCTCAGATAGATATGAAGAAATTCCCCAGATATTATAAAAGGGATAATGTTTACTCTTTTCTCACAAATTTTGAAAGAACCTGTGCAGAGTTAGAATAAGAGGTGAAATCAGCTGCTGGTGATGTGGGATTATTATCATCAGTCTCGGAGTCCGGTGTATTGGTGTTTGGAGGGGATTCATGGAATGGAGGGTCTGACGAATCCGACTCACACAGGGTAGAGTCCGAGTGAAAAGTGTAAAACGGAGAGTCATCTCGTGAGTGACGTGTTGGTTTGGTAGATTGGGAGGCTTTAGATGGTCCCTTCTTTTTATGCCTGGTACCGTGCCCAGTACCTGAGGCATCCGATTGCACGGATGAATCCGTGTCTGCCGAAGAACGCCTGGCTTTTCAAATTGTTCAGGGACCGTGAGAGATTCCCTATGACGTTTGAGCGGCATGGTACCAGGAGCTCCAGTACCGTGAACAGCCGAGGTACGATCCTGACGTTGGGCGTGAGTGGCGGGCTCCGCTGATTTGTTTACTAGCTGTCGATACCAGTTTGGAATCTGTCTTGGGTGCCTTTGGTACTGACGAAGTTCGTGAAGGTTGATCCTGCTTATGTCTCCTGTTGCCAGAACCACAGACCGTAGAAGATGAATCCTCCTCTGAGGTACTGGTATTGGAGGAGGAGGAGGACGACTCCAAATTGAATCCATATAACAGACAGGGATCGTACCACTTCTCCATCTGCTTACTCCAGCGTTTGATCTGCTTCCGGCTGTATGGGAGCGGCGGCCAATCATCGGGGTGCCCTCAGCCCTTCTTGTGCTTGGGGTGATGTTTACGAACCCCAGATTTCTTGGAGACCTTCGGTCTCGAATGCTTCGAAGACCGGGAATCTCCTGAAGCTGGTACCAGATGTTTAGTCTTCTAAAGGTAGGTACTGAGGACTCTTGGGATGGTGCTTCAGTCAGTACTGCAGTAGTGGATACCAGGAGCAATGGAGAAGAGTGGTCAGAGCGAACTGGAGAAA